CACACAAAGTCAATATTGTGATAATGAATCTTTGTAGAGTACAATTTCTGATGTCCAAGACAGCAGGAGAAAAGTCTGTCCCAGCTTTCATAGACTAATTCACTTTCAGTACTTGTTTTTGCTGGGCTCATGGCTAATCACTGAGGGCAGATCTTTCCCACCTAGTCCACTCATACTCACACACTAATTCCCTATGGAAACACCATCAAAGATACATCCAAATGATGCTTTTAAAGGTTTTTGATATTATTTAATCCAAATCAAGATGACACCTAAAATTAAGTCCACAAATCCAACCCTTGACACTTGATACCCATATTCACCTGCTTAAAACACACTTAATTTCCAACTAAAAACAATAACATGGCAAGAATTTTGTCTAACATAATACAACTATCCTATGTATCGTCCCCCAAACACTAATATCTTCTACAGAATTCAGTTCTCATGATTTAAAAATTTGGGATTTTAATCTTTTGTGATTGTGATTTTTTTGAATTTTAGACTTTAGGACTTAGTCTTTAAGGATTCTGATCTTTTGGGATTTCAATATTTGGGACTATGGCATTCAGAATTATGTCTCTTGGAGTCATAATCCAAACCATCTGAAATAAAGTGTGCAGTAATCAATGAAAGGCAGTAATTTGCTACAAGGATATATATTTGTAAATAATACTGTAATTTATTTCCTTTAAAATGAAAGAACTTAGGACAGATTTGATATTTTCAATATTACATAATTTGATTAGCACCTGTTATTTCTAATACTTGGACTGATGTGCTTTTTGTTTTGCTGTAGTTGTTTGACTCCGTCCCATATACAAGAAACACAGATTAATACTCACATCCTTGGTCAAGGTCTAACTCAATAAGAAAAGTAATTGCAACTCAGTAGGCAGTGCTCTTCTTGATAGTATTGCTGCTTGGCCTCCTTCCTTTCGATTCTCAGAATCACATAAAAGCAGATATCATTTTTACGTACACTGAAATGCCCTAAATGAATGAAGAATTATATCCTTAATTTAGAGGCCCCTGTATTTCAATTATATGTATAAATGAAATTTATGCAAAACCAGCAACATTACTTAAATGTTATGAACTCATAGTTTTTGTTAGTGTTATAAGGTTGCTGTATTGTTTATCAAGAGAGAAAAATATATAAAGCAAAGATTTAAACTTTAACCAAAGCAGTTGAGTTTGGAAAGACTATGGAGACAGAAACTCCTGGTGGTCACTACTGTTTTCTTCCTGATCCTACCATTCAGTAACGCTACCATTCTGGAACATGCAACCTGAGAGCCAGGTTCAGTTATGTAGCTTTGATTTTTTTATTCCTGTGCCGAGACAAGTGATTTTCGCTTAGCACTTGGTTAATTTCCATGAGTTAGCACAGCGGTCCCCAACTTTTTTTGTATCAGGGACTGGTTTCATGGAAGATAATTTTTCCACATATGGGGGCAGGGTTGGGGGTAGAAGGAATTAGCAAACATTAGATTCTCAAAAGCAGTGCACAGCCTAGATCCTTCACATGCAGAGTTCATAACAGCATTCGCGCTCCTATGAGAATCTAATGCTGTGCTGATTTGACAGCAGATCGAGTTCTCCGTCCTGCTGTGTTCTGCTGCCTGGGGGGTTGGTAACTCCTGAATTAACAGAACTCTGGTCTTCTACCCTGTATTTACATACATTGTTGAACTTTTTAAAGGACAGAGATTGGCATCCATTCTAATTACTTGGAGACCAGTCAGACAAAATACTTGTGAAGTGCTTGATTGACCTGGTGCAAAGGCAAGTAGAAACTATGAAAATCAAGAAGGTGTTTACCAGTAGGTGTTTAGGTAGTTGGACTCACATACACATCATAGAAGCAAACAAATTTTCCTGTTCATTACATTATTCTGGTTATCAACTATCATCAAAATGTGTAAGTAATAATTGAACTATGGTTTTTTGTTATAGATATACTTAACTCTCTTAAGTTAGCTTAAATATCTTTAAATGGTGGGTAAGTTTTGTTTAACTATGATGAATTCCTGGAAACTCTATAACAGGTCAGACTTTTATGATTTTAATTCAGCAGAGAAAAAGCCTGTCAGAGCCCATGGAAAAGAACTGCACTAGATACTCTGAAATTCAAAAATAGATTCTTGGGTTGTTTACTGACCATTCCACTGGTGAGTCATGAATTCCAGGACTCTTTTTGATCAAGAAGTGTATAGCTCCATGAGGCCACTAACTCAAGACACAAGAGAACAAGAATTTACACAGAACTAAATCAACCAATGAGGGACATTATATTGTGTTTTTGAAATACATGTTCTATACTCTTAAAGTATTATTAGACTTTTCTATTTAGTCTAACTTATCTGTAGCCTATAATAATCTAGCAGAGTCTCCTTTTTAAATACTGAAATGAAATGATTTGAATTTGTAGCTGATTGTCATTGAATTCTCAGAGTTCATAACCTCTCATTGAGTGTCTTTGTTGTTCTAGTTTTGCATATTTATAATTCTGATATTAATGTTAATTAGCAAACAACTAAATCAATTTATTCAAATATTTAGCCAGTTTGATCACACATACAGTTGCTTTTTTTTTTTTTTTTTTTTT